AAGTCTGAGTTGTGGGTTTCTTTTTCCTTCCTGCTTGCTCTGCATTTTGTAACCTTGCTTGTCTAATGCCCTGAAGTTACACTAAGGTATAAGGTTACTAAAAGACACTAACTTTGCCGCAGTTCCCCTTTTCCTCTGCGCATATGACAGAACTTTTTGCCGCAGTTCTGCTTTTGAAATACGCATGCACTAAACTTAACAGGAGATATTAACCAATAGCAAACTAAGCCTAGCCCATAAGATAAGACGTAACAACAAGGAAATTGTGGTACTGCCAATAGTTGTATGACACGTTGTAGCCCTTTGTTTATGTAAGCTATAAAAGTGTAACCCCAAGAGAAATTGGGGGGTCAACACTGCTTTGAGCATCAGCTCCTCTGTTGACATTGCTTGCGCAACCAATAAACTCATGATGGACTCACCCTGGGTGTGATTCTCTCCTTGAGGTGGAATTGGTCTAGCCTCCAGGGGCACGAAACTAGCCATTTGGGCAACACCTCTGTGCTCCTGGGGAACTCTTCTGCACAGCTCTGACCGGAGACTTGCCCGGCCCAAACGCGGTTCGGCTGTGGCAGGCTACCACTTTACACCCCCTGCCTTCCCGCTGTCCTCTGTTGTTCAGAGGAGTCCAGGGCAGTCCCCCGGTGCCACAGAGTCATGGCGTGGGGTGGCCCAAGTTGAATTTTGGGCCCAGATACTTAGCAGAGAGGCAGTTGGCAGCCTGGCCCGGCCAAACAGTGCTTGGGAATAGGGAACCGGGAATAAGTCTCGGTCACAGATGTCGAGGACAGTCCCCCCCCCCAGTGGCGTCGACAGGAAGTTTGGGGTGTCCCAAGAAGTATTTTGCCCTGTAATCTCATTTGAATCTACCTTCATTTAGGGCTCAGTACTTGATGCAGAATATTATTTTACATATTAATTAGTAAATGTGCATAGCTAATGACATTCTCTCTCATTAATTAATAAGAAGCTTTTATTAGGTCTAGATTAGCTTTGAAAAAGGAACCGGGCACTGGGAATAAGGAATAGAGAACTGGGAACAAGGAATAGGGAACTGGGAATAAGCAACCAACTTCAGCCTCATCTTGTTTCAAGAAAACATTGCTATATCCCACAACAGACCCTGGGAGGCACGTGGCCCTGGACTCATAGCACGAGTCAGGCAACACTGTGAAGCAGCTGGAGGTCCCGTCGGCCCTTCACCTATTTCCCAGTACCTCAGGGGTAGCGGGTGGTCCTGGGCTGTGTGGCATCCCGAGAGGCAGGCAGAAGATGAGGCAGAAGACGAAAACTCCTGCATTGCTTCCTTAGGAGACTTGTTGTTAACCCAAGCCCATCAGACCATGGGTAATAGCCAATGGACCTGCTCTCTGACAGTGAATGCATGGATCCAAGAGGAAAACCCCCTCCCCTCTTACACCACAACTCTCAATCAAGGAAACCACATGGGCAGCACCTGGGTGACAGCCCCATTCCTCCATGCCCAGCTCTGCAGGGAAATGGGTCGTGCGTCTCTAGCAGGTACAGACAATTCTCCTAGCACATCGTCAAAGGAACAGATTGTTACACAGGTCAGATCTGCGCCTGGCTCTACCTACTCTCACCTTAGGGAAGTTGTCCATGAGAGCCCCTTCCCATCTTCTCTCTGCTCAAAAGGTCTCCCTCTAAAACGGGGAGAGGGGAGTGGGCTCAGCACTGGTCACAGGCCAGTGCCTTAGGATCATAGCAGAGCAGGACTGGAAGGGACTTCACAAGGTCATGTAGTGCAGCCCCCTGCTCAAGGCAGGAGCATTCTTGACTAAACCATCCCAGCCAAGTGTCTGTCTAACCTGATCCCACAATTTCGCTAGGTAGCCAGTTCCAGTGTTTGACCACCCCCTTTACAACTTCTTGTAGAGTGTTGCAAAATGATGTTGGATGCCCAGTTTCAGCTAAATGTTGGCTATATATGTAACATCCAACCCCTGGGGCTCAGCTCCTCCACAGAAATCCTCTTTGCAGGGACTGAAATCAGGAGCCTGTGCCACCAGTGCCAAGCAGCACAGGGTGAGGCCAAGCCCAGCAGCACTGCTGGCCCCATGGCACCTGGAGCGGCAGGGCAAGCCCTTCTGCAGCTGCTAGTTGGAGTTTCCCTGGGGGATCTTCCCCCCCCCACAACCCCTTGCCCTGACAAGCTGCTTGCAGTGGGCTGTCGGCTTCCAGCCAGGGCCCTCCCTAGGGCAGGGCTGGGCCATGTAGCCGTAGCCCCATGTGCATCATGTGCCAAGCTTTTGTCAGGGCCCTTCTTGTTTGCTTCTCTGAGGAAACGAGTCTCAGGATCCAGTCTCCCCTTCCACATCCCCTCAGCGCAGCCTTTTATGAGAGATTCAGATGCCGGTGTCACACTGGCAGACACAGCCATTCAGTGCAGTGCCAGGGAGTGCCCCTGTCCTGGGAGAGCTGGGATCAAGACCCCAAGACACGCATTTCACGTCCAGCGAGCCCAGCCTCTGTTAGCCAGGCTGAGAGCTGCTGTCAGTCCCTGCTGAGCTGGTCTGGGTTGGAGATCATTGTTGCCCTGAGGTGTCAGGCTGGACATTAGCACACCCCTAGGGCGAGCAGAGCCCCTCCACAGGCCTGGGGTGCATGTGCACTCAGATATATAATTCCCGTGTCAGGACATTGCAGAACCTCAGCGACAGCCTCCTCCTCCCCCACAAACACTGCTCACACCCCGCAGTGCTGGGGAGCCCAGGGCAAGGCTGCTGCAGCTGAGGAGATGAGAAAGCGTTTGCAGTCTCGGCGTGGGAGGCTGGTGCGCGGTGTGCCATGCATTTGCTGCAGTGCCTCAGACACAGAGGACTGTTCCCCATGCTCATTCACTGTCTGTCTGAACCAGTGCAAATGTGCTGGGAAAACACAGCAGCATATCGGAGATTTTGCACTGGCCTGGATACCAACTGCAAGCTCTTCCATTCCCTTCTTTTGGGTGTCTTGGGTCTTGAACAGGGCTGGGTGGGCATTGAAACCCTGCTCCTCACATGTCACATAAGAGCAGTGACTGTGAACATGTGTTTGAGGTCGGGGGGCAAACAACCAGCCAGGAGCTCCCAGTGCGACGCTTTGAGGAAACGTCCCGGTTACGTCGGACAATGTAAAAGCAACAGAGTTGGGCAGGGATGCTGTCTTTTGTACTGTGTCGGTGTGAGTAGTATTGGGAGGCATAACCAGGTCTGGGGGTAACATGCGGGACAACGGGGGGAAGAGAAGAGAGGCGCCAATAAGAACCAAAGCAGCCACTGAATTGCAGGGTGTGGAGGCCCCATGGCCATGTGCTTCATCACTGGGGAGTGAATGACGGCTGTATGAATCCCTGAGACTCCCTGAGCTGACACCGATCTGCTCCGACCATGGGTGCCACTACTCCCCACAACTGTAGGCAGGGGTCTGGATCCAGACTGTGCGGATCCCTGCAAGCCCGATCTAGCTGAGTGCCGGGGAGAGGCTAAGTGGGTTTATTCCCAAGGGCCCTGTTTATTCCAATGGAAAAGACCGTGAAGATACCTGTGCTGCAGCAGGGACACAGAGCTGGGTCTTCCCATCCCACACCAAACAAACACAACACAAAACCCCCCAGCCCCTGGACCCCAAGACGGAGAGATCATAACTCAGCTGGCGTCCAAGTATTAGTCTGGAAGAGCCCTGTGGATGGAGGGTATGGGGGTTGGGAGGGGTTTGTCCCCTCCTACTCAGATAAGCCTGCTATAAGTGCCTATTTGTATACAGTGTGCTTGCACCAGAAAAATATACTGGGTACCAAAAGGCCCTGCTGATTCCAAGGAAAAGACTCGGGAGAAAGCTGCTTATTAGCAGGAATTCACAGCTGGGCCTTTCACATCCCATAGAGTGCCTTGAGCACCACAGTGTCTTTGCTCTTGCAACATGCTCCCCATCTCTCTTCTATTTCTCTCTCTGGTCTTGGCAGAAAGACCAACCTGGAGAATGGTTGTTGGTTGTGGCAGTGGATATCTGTGCCCCAAACCTTGCAGAGAACATTTTTTCCAACTATATCTCCTAACAGATATCACATCTACCCAAAGGAACTTGACAACCTGGAGCAGAGAAAGCTTTTCCCTTTGCAACTTTCTTGAAACACCTCCCTGACCGCCCAAGTTGACTCTCTGAGTAACAAAGGTGGTTTCCTATTGAACAGCATTAGCAGCTTCTCAGACAGCTCAACCTTGACTTTCTGAGCTAAACATGCCAGGTTTCTCCTGTGTGTTGTAGACCCTGTTTTCTACAGCAGTGGATTGCCTTGTCTTCTTTCTTTCCTTGCATGTCATGAGCTTGTATTTAACACAGGAATATGAGATGAACACCGACACTTATAAGAAAACAAAAGTAAAGCTTAACTTTATTATCCTACATCTAGTCTTAACTTCTATGACATCTATGTTCAACATTACATATTACACTAAATCTATGTTTAACAGTGCACATTTTTTATGCCTTTGCTCTCTTCACTCCCTGAATAGCCCTCGATGGATTCAACGGCAGGCTACTAACACAAACGAAGCCCGGATGGTCTGAGTCCCGATGCCTCAGAGGAAGGCGAAAAACCCCCAGAAGTTGGTTCCGTAAAGGAAGGGGGAAAAAATTCCTTCCTGGCCCCAAACGGCGACTGGCCAAAGCCCTGAGGCAGGGGTCACAAAATGCCATCCACACAACTCGAGCGTCCTCCACTGGGCAACCTGCGCACTACAAACTTGTGGTGCCTGGTCTTTCCCCAGCCCTTTGCAGAGCCGGGCTGGAAGATGTTCAAGTTCTTCACCATGAGGGTTTCTCAGGCTGCTTCTCTTTGCAGAAGCTGACGTGGCTGTGGAGGACGGCTTGGGCTGGATGATAACTTGTCAGTCAGTGACGTGTGTGGTGGCTTTGGCGCTGTTGCAGCTTTTCTATGTAGCTGCCGGGCTCCCAGTGAGGTTGGGGAGTTCGTCTTCACTCAGGGAGGTGCTGTCAGGGTGCAGGTGGTTTGCAGGTGTTGCTATGCAGTGTAAAAAAAAGCAGCAAAAGATTAGATCCATGAATTGGGACCGTGATACAAGGCTGTGATGTGAGGGAGTGGGGACTGAGAGCTTTCCTGGGACTCAAAGGCCTGAACATTTGAATGAGGGAAAACACAATAGAGTGTGCTTAGCCTCTTGCATGAAAGAAGCTGAACGTCTTTAGGCATCACTGCCCAGCCACGCTCAAGATGAGGTAGATGCTCTGAATGCACAACCCCAGCACCAAAAGGGCCGTGGCTGAGAGAGCTACAAGCAAGGGAAAGCAGGTCTCCGACTGTGTGAGCCACAGCAACATTTAACAGGAGGCAGAGGGTCCCGCCTGTCCTGGGGTGGCTCAGCCACTTGGGAGAGCTCCCGGGGTTCCTTCATGAAAGATGGCAACACCCTGCAGGCCTACCATGCCGCCCAGGGCAGAGGGGAGGTTTACCCGGGGCAGCAGGGCACAAGGAAAGGCTCCTGCCATTGAGAGGAAAGAAAGGAAAGACCTGCAGAGGACGGATGCTAGGACAGGACTCTCCAGGGCAGAGGGGAGAATTGCCCACACACGGCAGGGAGCAGGATTGTGTTAGGCCAAGAGCCTCCCCCTCCCTTCCCACTGATCCCTGTTTCCCAGGGGCAGAGGGGACAGGACAGTACCTGCAGGAGCAAGTGTGGGCGGCTAGAGAGGGGCGAGGGCGCTGGAGTAGGTGACCAGCAGGCTGTGCCCTTGCAGATCTTTAGGCAGCTCTTTCAGGCAGGTGATAATGAGTATCTTATTCAGGACCCTGATGGGGATTTCTTTCTCCTGCAGCAGCACAATAGCCAGTTAGAGCCTCTGCAGCCTCAAAGAAGGACGGTGATGTGGGGAGCGGTCATGGGGCAGGGATTGGACTGTGACCAAGGGGTTTTGGCAACAGCCCAGGGAAATGGGGGCAGGTTCCCGGAAGGACCTTTTTCAGAGAGTCGTGGTGAAGACAGATGTTGGTGGCCTGAGGCACTACCGGTTTGCCCCATGCCCTTGTCCAAGGCACTTGGCAGGCCTCCCATTCTCCTAGAGCCCAGTTTGCTCAGAAGGCAGGGGAGACTGCCACCTTACAGACAGGGGCAGGTCACTAATTGAGTTAGTCTATGAGGTGCAAATGGACCCCGCCATGAGCTAGAGCTCAGACTGCAGTGTGTACTGGCCTCCTTTGCTCCATGTTGTCCCCAGGCAACAGGTGGTGATGGGACAACAGTGACTTGAAGTGGCAGAGGCAAGGGGCCCTGAGCTCACTCTCCTCCCTCCCCTTACACCCCAACATGTCTACTGACCTTGTGCCGCATCAAGCAGCTGGCTTCCCCCAGGATGGCATACAGAAAGACAAGCCCAGCTTGGCTGATGTGCATCGGTCCATTGTGACCTGCATGAAGGGCCCTCTGTAGGAAAGATCTCCTTTGCTCCTCCAGCAAGATCTTTCTCAGCCCCTGAAACAAGAGAACACAAGGCTTGGCACATCCCACAGCCAGGCTGCATCTCTGGGGCCTGGCACCACATCACCCTGGACACTTGCAAGGCTCTAACCCACAGCAGGAAGACCCCTGCGAGCTGGACAGAAGTATCAGACCTTTCTCCGCATCCCTTCATCACAACATCCTCACCTCTCCCACTCTCGCCAGGTCTCTGTAGTTCTGGACCTGGCTCTGCTCCATCTGGCGCTTGCACCGCAGCTTCTCTGCCCCTTGCATGTCTTGGCCTAGGAGAAATGTAGACACATGGCTCTGAGCTGCCATCCTAGCTTTGGTGCTCAATGTCCACCCAATGGGGCTCTGGCTGCCCTTCTGGCACCGTGAAAGGCAGGGTCCCCTCAGGGAGGTCGTCGTTCGGCAGGAGCCAATATGGACCAGACATCCTTGGACCAGTCTGGGCTGGGGGCTTGGGGATGGGCTTCCTGGTGCCCCCATGGGACACCCTGGACTGGTGCATTAGCACAGGCTGCAGTACCACAGCTGGGCACTGAGGTGAAAAGGCCCAAATCATTAACTCTGATAGCCTAAGTTGTCCCCGGGTCGGGAACAGACAGAGAGAGACACAGTGTCTGGCCCAGCACCTGGGACCAGGCTTTTGGAGGCAAACTGCTGGCATCAGAGCCTTGTACTCCAGCTGGGTCTCCTTACCCCTCTGATGAAGGAGGATTTGAGTGAGCAAATACATGCACGCCCTGGCCTTGCAGCTGATGGTCTCCTCCGGGTCGTTGATGGACAGACCCAGGCGGGCTGCCATGTCCCCCACCTCCGGCATGTCAGGGGAGCCCTAAGCAGGGTGAGAAGAGTGGGGAGTTCATGCATGTCCCACCTTCCTTCCCCAATACATCCCCAGGCCCAGTTCTCTCTCTCCACCTCTCCGCATTATCCAGTAGGAGGGCAGGGAGGTGGAGACCATCCAGAGAATGATACCCATCTCTTCCCATGGAAACCTGCAGCCCAGGGACTTGCTCAGGGCCCCATGATGATTCCCTGTGCCTCATGCTCCAGGGCTAGTAGTCCCCATGTCCAGGACTGACCATGCCCAGAGCAGGCCATGAAAAAGAGATGCATAAAGAGCCAGGGGGCACCACTGAGGCCCTGGAGTGAAGCTCCTTGTCCAGCTCTGATCCCACTTTCCCAGGAGCGCCCTGGCAAAGGCAGGGGACCAGGACACTGGGGTCAGGGCTCACTGACCTCAAATTGTGGGAGGAGCTGCACAGCAAAGGCAAGGATGCCGGTGGTGATCTTCATGCCCATTGCACGGTGCTGGGCATCCGGCGCCTCAATCCATGACGTAAAGTGCTATGGGAGGAAGATGTTAAGATCAATGGGTAAATGCCCTGCCGAATCCAGCAACCTTGGCAACATCCTCCTCAGGGCCCGAGTTTCAAGCTAGGGCTTTGTTTGAGTGAGGCTTACTGCAGTGCAGAGGGCAAGAGCTGTCCCAGCCTGAGCCCAGACCCTCTGCATCGCGCTCACCTCCCAGATGGAGTAGAGCTTGCCCAGACTGGGGGCGCTGGACAAGACGCAGCACATCAGGCCCTCCAGGTACTCCTCATACAGCTGCTGCATGACCTGGAAGGGGAGGCAGACCCGAGGGTCAGTGCCACAGAGCCTGGGGCATCCCCTGCCAGCGGTTGCTTGTGGGACATGGCACTGGCAGGGGGACCTACCTGGTTGTGATGGGTCTCACGCCCTATGGCCAGGAAGCTCTTGTCCACGGCGGCCCACAGGAGGCGCGACTCCAGTGCTGGCTCCAGGCTGAGCTTCGGGTCACTGTGAGAGAGGGGCCTGCGTCAGACTGAGCTATGCGGGACAGGGGTGGCACTGGGGTGGGCAGAAAACAGCCTGGAAAGCTGGGCCTGAGCAGTAGGTATCCCCCTGGCCCATGGCAGAGCGAGGACAGTCGGGCAGAGGTCCCCGTACCTGAGGCAACGGATGGTGTCTATGCTGTACGCCAGGATGTGTTTTGGGTCAGCCTCCACTGAGATGTTCTCCATCAGGTCCTGTGAGACCCAAGGGGAGGGGGAGGTAAGAACAGCCACATCCCGCACGGGAGACCACCCAGTACTGCAGGCTCAGGGGGAAGGATCCCAACCAGCCCCCTCCCACCCACCCAGCTGGGCTGGCCCTCTCCCTCCCACGGCCTTGCAAGCATGGCACTCAAACCTCTCCTGATCGCACCCTTCCCTTGCCCTCAAGATGCAGGATTCCCCAATGCCCAGGGCCAGGTGCACCTGCCCTTCTCCCTCTCATCCCCCTCCACCTCTCCCCTCCTTCCTGGTCTCACAAGACGGTATTTCCATTCCTTCCCTTTCCCCACGCCATCCCGTGGTACTCACCACGATCCTATCTAGCACAGCCGCTTTCAGGCCCTCCAGCTCCACAGCCACCTCTCTGCTCTGGTCCGCGGCGATGGTCATGCTAATGATGGCCAGCAGGAAGTGCTGCCTGTCCTTCCCATCCAGCATCTACCAGGAGCAAGACCAGGGCTAAAGCAGGCTCTTAGCCAGGGGCTTTCTGCTCTTCTCCAAACCCCCTGTGGGGGGCCTCCTTTGACCCCACGGTGCTGAGATGCATCTCCTTGGGGCAGACGTTGTAAAGAGCAGGGCAGTGTCCATGGAGGGAGGGACCCAGCTGGGGCTTCACAAACACCCACCTCGAGCAGCGCCCCTTGGCTAAGTGTGTCCCCTTGCGTGCTCCCAGTCCCAGGGGGTGACCTCCTGCCATGGGCTGCATGGCAGAATGGAGGAGTGACTGGGTGCCGGCTCCGCTGGGGAAGTTTCATACCTCATCTGGGTCCTGCAGGTTTCTTCACAAGGAAGAGGGCAGCTTCTTCCGGGGACCTTCCCTCTTCCTCCTCCTCCTCTTCATCCTCCTCTTCCTCCACCTCCTCGCCGGCCGGGCTGGGAATCACTGCACAGGGAGGAAAGGGGAGAGGGTTACTGGTGTGCCCCTGAGGGGAAGGGAAGTGGGTATCAGGGGAAGAGATGTTGTCTTGCTTCCACGAGCACTAGAGTCCACTGTCTGCCCCAGGATGTGCCAGGGAGAGGTGCGGCTCAGCCCCCTCACCTTGGCCAGGATCCCCCTGCCCAGCCCTATGGAGAGTCCAGCTGGCCTCAGTTAGTGAAAGATGCTGAGACCTCTGGCCCCAGCACCTCCCCTCACTTGTGCGGGTGTCATCGGGGGCCAGGCTGGTCCTGGACTCCAGGGAGCTACTGCAGTCCTCCGAGGAAGAGCTGCTGGTCGACCTGGTAGTGTCGGACTCCTCCGAGCTATCAGTGTCCTCCGAGGAGGAGGTGCTGCTCGTGTTGGTGCTTTCAGCCTCCGGGGAGTTTTCAGGGTCCTCTGAAGAGGAGCTGGTGCTGGGGCTGGTGCTCCCGGACCCCTGGGATGTGTGCCAGGCATCCCAGGAGGAGCTGAGGCTCAAGCAGGGGCAGCTGTGGGCCTGGCTCAGCTCCTGCCCCAGGGCGGCTGGGCCCTCGTCCCCGGCTCGGCAGGGGGCTGCTTCCTGCTGCAGGGCTGCAGGGCCGGGCTCCAGGCTGCTCGAGGACCCAGGAGGGGAGCTGCACGCCTCTTCAGGTGCCTGGTGCTCTGATGGTGCTGGCTTCCGACTACCCATGCACACCCACGGCCACCTCCATTTGGACTTGGAGGTGGCTGATGTCTTTTCCTCCTTTCCCCTGCTGCTGGGAGCTGCCGGTTTTCTTTGGCAGCAGATGGAGCACAGCCACCTCTTTGCCCTGATGGGCCCCTCCTCATCACAGCAGGTTGGGCCCCGATCCTCCTGCCCAGGCTCCATGCTGCTCTCTTCTCCCTGTCGCTGCCGTGCAGTGCAGCAAGGGGGTTGAGACCTTTAGAGGCCCGTCAGGCAGGTGCTTTATGACGCTTGGAGTTCATCCGAATCGGACGTCAGGTGGTCCCCACTGCTCCATGGGCAGTTCTTAACTAGTTCCAACTCCATTGCGTCTTCCCCATATCCTGTTCGTGACGCCATGTCGCTGCCGTGCACTGCAGCAAGGGGGTCGAGACCTTTAGAGGCCCGTCAGGCGGGTACTTTATGACGCTTGGAGTGGAATTAGGCACAGACGCTTATCAGTTGCAAAGCAAGATTGTTTACTCACACCGTCAAGGTGGTGAATAGCGGAGGTCAGAGATACTTGGTTAGTTACAGCTTAGGGTTCGTAGGTCGGTCTGCATAAGAGTTTGGTGGTCGGGCAGAAAAGGTCGGGCCGGCAGGTCGTTGATTTACGTCTGAGATTGGGTCGAGACGGGGGGAAACTGACAAGTGATCAATTTGTCAGTTACTCTGACACGTACGTTCAGAGGTCTCTAAGGTGTGTGCGGAGGTCTCCCCTTCTTCCTCCTCTTCTTCCTCTTTGCGGAAGTGCAGCGGGGTTTTGTTTGTATAATAGCCAATTGCTTTTTGCCACGTCATAAATTTAATTAGAATCTCCAATTATATAGTGGTTTTTACTAGGGTGTTTGTAGTAGGGATACTCCCCTGTCATTCCAACCAATTACAATGATTTATGTAAAGCAAAGAAGGCAAAAGTTTTATCTCTGTTAGTGGCGCAGCAATAAATTTCTTTTTGACACGCGCAGCAAAAAGGCGGTTACTGGCAAAAACTTTTGTTAACCCTTAGTTAACTTAGTGCAGAGTAAGGATGTTTTTGAACGATCTCTTGCTAGTGACATGGGCACTACTAATTGGGTTGTGACACCTAACAGCCCCCCTACAGGCCCGAGCAGTGGAGGTATACTCCTCTTCGGAGATCACCCCGCCTTCCACCGGGTGTACGCCGCCTTTTTGGCAACCAGGCACTCCCAGACCTCCTTGGTGAGCCAGGGAGGCTTTTGGGCACTCTTGCCCCCCTTGCTTCT